CAGAGCAGGAGGCCTGCATGCCCCTCTTCTTGCCCGGGTTCCGCCCTCAACCCGGCCTGAGCATGGCAGAATTCCTTTGGCACCAATTCCATGCATCTCTGAGACGGCTTCCACACACAAACCCGAGGTGGGCAGGAGTCAGGGATTAATGAGGACTTTGCTTTGCTTTTTGTATCAGAATCCTCAGCCACGAGAGCTCTTACAAATCCATTCCCAGAACCCCCAGAAGACAGGAGGTCTCAGAAGGTCAGACACATCTTTCAGATTCATTAGCTGTTAAGCAGAGCGGGTACAACACCCCCCCCATGCAAGTCACAGGTGGAGAAAAGTCACACTCATCCTGCTCACGATGTGGGGTGGGGGGGGTTCCGGCACAGTGGGGGCACCCTCAGCTCACTCTTCAACTCCCCAAAACACAAGATAAAAAAAAAAAGCCAGCGTGTAAGCCCTTCTAATGGGGATGTCACTTTTAAGGTCCCCATTTACACCGAATGCAAGAAGACTCCAAAAGGTTCCTGGAGAGGGAAGTTCAAGATTTTATCTCAGAAAGCTCACCTGAAGCCCAGTTCCCCTCCTGTGTCTGCTCTCTGCCTGTCCTTGCCTAGGGACCTGATCCAGTGTGCCCATGCGATGCATACCCCACACCAAGCACTGCCCCGAAGGCCATTTGGCCTTTCTGAGCCTTGCCAATGTTGCTCTGAACCCACACACCATCACTGAATCCAATTCTCCAGTGACAGCCCACCTTATGTAGGAGTGACGGGAGAGGGTGGCTTCAGGCTTCAGCTAAACATCTCAAGACCCCGAATGCTGGCTGGGAGAGCCGCCCTCAATGATCCCGTGGAGGTGTGGAAGAATTACTGAAGCTTTCTAAAGTGACTCGCATACTCCAGAGGCTTCATCTGGCTGTTTCATCTCCCGGTTATCAGTGACTTAGTCACTGGGCGGTGTGATAACCTAGCCTCGGTTTTTGCCTCACTGACTCAGTGCCCTCACCTGCTGCTGGGGGCCTCCACTCTGGCTTGTCAGGCCGGTGGGGTCTAGAGGGAGTGTCACCCAGCACCCATGCAGCTCTGGGAGCAGCGGAGATCCGGGCAAGAATTTCACTTTCCTTGGGCAATACTTTGGGTGAAGGCCAGAACTGTCAACAGGTACATATCAAAAGCAGAAATACACACACAAACCCAACAGCTTTTTTAAAAATAAGAAAAAAAAAAAAAAAAAAGAAACCTTGGGTCTCCAACAGGGTCCCTGAAAGGCTAGAGTTTCTGTAAGTATGCTTTTTAAAGAATCTTCATTTGTTTGAAAAGCAATTACAGAGAGCATCTCTCACCTGATTCAATTCCCCAATATCTGCAGAGGCTGGGGGGCGGGCGGGGGGGGGGGGACCAGCAGACACCAGGAGCCATGACCTGGGTGACAGAGGCCTGGGGACCTAAGCCACCACATGCTCAGGGTGTGTATCAGCAGGAAGTTGCAAGCAGAAGCACAGCCAGGACTCGAACCTGGGAACCCTAAAGTGAGAAGTGGAGGTCCCAGGTAAGTCATTTTTGTGCTACAACCAACACCTGGCCCTCTTTTTTTTTTTTTTTTTCTGTGTACTGCTGCACAGTGGACACTCTGGGAGATGCAGTGTCCCCTTTCTCATCCCAGTATTTTGAGGAGAAATGGGAACACCTCTGGTGCGCCCAGAGATGTATGGAGACTGCCTCCGGCCACTCGCTCCTTTTAACCAGCAGGTGGGTGAACTCTGCATTTTCTCCTTCAAGGCGACTCCTGTCAGCTGCCCTGGGAGAAACAGCAAGTGGGTGCTTGCGTCAAAATTCCCTTATTCCCTGTCACTTGGTAGGTAATTTGCTGTGAAGTTAATCAACAAGAAAAGAAAGTGCTCATCTTCCCAGCTGATATTTAAAAACCACAACTTGGGGCTGGTGTTGCCGCATAGCAAATAAAGCCTCCACCTGCCCCAGCATCCCATATGGACACCAGTTTGAGTCCGGGTTGCTTCACTTCCAATCCAACTCTCCACTAACGGCCTGGGAAAGCAGCAGAGAATGGCCCAAATCCTTAGTCCCATGCAAGACTTGAAGGAAGCTCCTGGCTGCTGGCTTTGGCTTGGCCCAGCTTTGGCCATTGTAGCCAGTTGGGGAATGAAACAACAGATCTCTATTCCTGCCTTTCAATTAAATAAATATGTCATAAACACACAGACACACACAATTTATTCAGAAACATATGGTGAGGACCAGGGCTGAAGATTGAAGGATGTTTCTGGCCAAGCTGGTGCTACAGGTCTTTGTTCAGGAATTGTCCTTAGTAGTGGCAGGTGAACAAGCCCCCAGGACGGTCCCTGAGCTTTCAGTATCTCTCTATGTCTCAATTATGGGTTGTGAAATCATGCAGTGAGTCACGACCAGAATTTAAAAAGAAAAAAGAAATTAGACTCAAGTAGAATAGAACAGAAAATTCTGGAGTGCGTGGCATGTCAAGTATCATAGAATGAAACTTTTGATTCAGTTGTATGTCTCTGTGTGTGCCTGTGCCTGCGTGTGTGTGTGTGTGTGGTGTGTTTGGGGCACCAATACACAGTATGAAATGCATTTCCTGCTGTGGTCATGGTTTAAAAAACAAAGCAAAACAAAGCGGAGATCAACAGCCCTGGAGATGCCTCAATGCTGGATTCGAATGACTCGCTATTTTCTGACAAAGCAAATTAACTGGATAAATAACAGGAAAACTGATTCTTTGCAGCATGAATAGTCACCTCGTGAACCATTCCTACAGAAAAGCTCTGAGTTCTATGCTTTTAAATACAGAACTCCTCAAAGCACAGTCCCGCACAGGGAGAGCCTTGTGGCTTGGGGACACCTCCTAAGACGCATGAAAGGCCAAAAGTGCATCACGCAACAGGAGGAAAAACCGGACACGCTTCAATCGGCATCAGCACCGAAGGTTCTCACGCTTTAGCCACATAGTTAAGCTCACGGCTTCGCTGCAGAGGGGGAAGAGGAAATTTGGAAGGAGTGGAGAGGGAGGAGCGCGTGTGGGGGAAGAGCATTTTCCTCACACTCCAAGTTTTAGCTCCATTCATGTTGTAATGCTTGCTTACAGGTGACAATATGCTTTCTTAGTTTCCTTGTTGATTTTATTCAGCTGTCTAGTTAACTCTCTTCTTACAAACAGAGGAATGTTTGGCCATGTATAATCCCACTTAACGGTCAGCAAGTTTTGGGCATTCAGTTAATAGTACTGATTAACGACTCATTAGCATACAATTACAATACCCTGTAGCAAGGTCATAACCTTGGTACCCAATGCCAAAATAGGCAACTTAGTTACAACTGCCTGTGTTTGAATAAAGCATGATACAAAGACTGAGCATGTTTTTCATGAAACAGTTTTAAGAACCAGTTACAGGGAGCATCAACTGACTGAACTCAGAGTCCTGGCTGCTTTACCCAACAGCCTCATTTTTCCCCTTACAAAACTTTTTCCACCCAAGTATTATGACTTGCTCCGTACTCCTCATTATCACATACACACACACACCACACACACACACACACACACACAGTTTCACAAGACAAGAACCTGAAGGCTCCAGGCCACAGCTTGTCCGTGGAAGTTCAGTGATTAAATGTTCAAGGTACAGGTACCTGACTGCAAGCGTGGTGTTTTGCTCAGTTTACATGACCTGCCCTTGCAGCTCTAACTCAGATTCCACTTATTTTCAAGCACCTTTTCTGTTCTGTAAGGACATATCTGTGGATGGAAGACAGGTGGCTGAATCTTGTGGATGACACCGTTGTGATGAGTGCAGGGCATTGACATGCACCTGCTGGACCTCCGCAGGATGATGCAACCACCGCCACAACCATTTTGATGCAGAATAAAGGGCAGGGGTAACGGGTACGTCATGGTCTTTACAGCACTGTGGCATGCGTCACTAACTTACATACATGTACTAACTTCTGTGTTTCTGTGTCCAAGTAGCAAGGCTTAATGAGGGCTCCTAGGAGCAGTACCGTTTCTCGGCTGCCCTTGGCTCCCACACTGCCTAGTATATTTACCCAGACTGCTTTTTCCTTTAACAGCAGTCCTCACAACGAAAAGTCTGCTTTTGTAATTTTGCACTTTGCTCTGAGATTTTACAATCTACTGTCCTGGAGAATCAAAAGTCCACGAGTACTTAGCAGCCACATCTGCCTTCGCAACAGTCAAAGGCAGGTCAGCTTTCTCCAGCAGACTTCACTGAGAAGCCAAGCGCAAGCTTTGTTTTTTAAACCACAAAGTCAACTTTCTTATCCACTCTGCTCCAAACTCAGTCTTAATTTTCAGAAAACAAAATAATAGCATAGTTCAACACAGATCCTTGTACACACAGGTACTGCCTTGACAATGCACCAATCTATTAAGATCAGTGGACGAGAAGAGGAGCCCGGGCAGGGCCGACCAGCACAACCCACTCACCCAGTCCCCACCAAACATCCTGCTGGAATAAGCTCTGAAAGCAGAGGCTTTGCCCACCTCCAGCTTAGCCACAAGAGTTGTAAACACCCAGTAGGTACAACCAACCCGAGCATCACTTCTTGAGGTCCTAAACACAGCCACGTGCGAACAGTATTCCTTTGAAAGATACCTTCAACTTGACATCATTTTGATAATGCTGCTTTCTTGGTAATTTAAGACAGGAAATAGCATACTAGGTGCTAACCACAAACCACCTAACATAGGGGATGAATACAGTCATCTTACTTTCCAGAGAAAGTTTCCTGTACTTGGCTGCTATGTACCATTCCCTTCCCTCCAAATTAAAGCCCTGAGAAAGTTAAACTACAATAGTCCCGCAGTGAAGGGCATAAATTACTGCCATTTTTTCTTTAAGTCACAACAAGAGACAAAACATATTTGTAGCACCTGGCATGTACGAACGAGACGCAGACCAACACAGGTCTCCCTGCTGACAGGGGTTTTGGCTGGCGTGACAGCCTCCCGCATACCTTGAGTTCTCTGAAGAAGATACTACTCCTGGCCCACTCGACGATGGAGAAGAGCGTCTGGTCGGCCATCTTGCACATCAGCCCGAACGTGCTCAGCTTCTCGTGCTTGCTCCGGTTCGCCTGCTCCTGCTGCAAATAGGCCATGATCTTGGCCTGCACCTGCGGCTCCTCGGGCTCACACTTCAAAAGTTCCAGGATGAGATGGGGGATGCTGGCCGGGGAGCTGGTCTGGTAGCCGTCCATGTAGGAATAGCCCATGATGGACTCGGGGGAGCTGGTGTAGGGGTCTGGGTATTCAGACTTGATGGCCCGGCTCGGAAAGTGGCTGTAGGTTTGGTAACCTGGAAGGCTGCCGTGAGGTGGCATCGTCATGCTAATGGGGGACGTTACAAAGGGACTTCTGTCGTAGTCCGAGGGAGGCAAGGCAGCGTGGTTCAGGGGGAGCCCCTTGGAGGCAGAGTGCATGTTCTGGATGGCCGAGGAGATGGTCAGGTCCGAGGGCATGGCCTGGATCACCTGCGACATGGCTTCCAGCTTCAGTCCGTTGGCCCGGATGAGGGCTTTCTTCTGCTGCTTCAGGGCCCTGTCTCGCTTGTACATGGGCCCAAACTTATTCCTTCCTCCTCGCATTCGGTCGGCCCTCACAGCTGTTAGGGCAAGACGGGGAACAACAGAGAGTGTGGGAAGGAAGGGTATTAACAAGATGTAAATGTTACCAGGCTCCTGAAACTCGGCAGTGTCCAGGTCCGCAGAGCCCACCCCCGCCCCTCCGGGACCGCACGGCCTCTCGACCAATGCTTTCCTTCAAGGGTGTTTTGTCAGCAGATATTTCTGTTACCTTAGGACACATTCAGCTTCGCATGGACTAACGGATTTCACAATCTTTACAATACACGGGAGGTCCTTTTGATTGTGAGCCCCAAACCACTTTGGGTTTTGTCTTGTTGCAGGGTCGGACAGGGAAGGACCCAGGTTCAGATTAAGTTGTATTTTCCTTTAGAACACCCCCCTTCTGTCAATGCCATTCTTTGCCTGGACGCAAAAGGGCTGCCTGCACTGCGTCTTGCAAAATCGTTTTCACCTGGGCTTCGTGAGCACACCCCCTCCCCAATAACCACCAGCTACTGTTTTCAATCTGGGCCGAATTGGACATAATTAAAATCATTTCAGAAGCCGCAGAGGGTCTTCTGCCACAACGGTGCATGTGGTCTGGGCCCAGGCCTCTAAGTCAGTTAGCAGTTCTCTGTAAAGTTCACAGTGGCCAATGGCAATTAGAACGAAACTGGCGACCTCTGACAGCCTGTGACATACTGAAATTGCTCGAGGTTAAGTTTTTGAGCTTTTTATCTGAGGATTAGTAGTGCATTAAAAATTTATTGTGAATTCTTGGATTCCAGAATGTTGCACTAGATCATAAAAGAGGTTTTCATCTGGATAATAATTTATTGAACACTCAATTGTTTCCCATCACTGGGGTAATGTGGTTATGCACCACGTGTGACCCACGGATAATTAAGAAAGTAATTTTAAGGGAAAGAAATACAACTTTTTTTTTCTCTCATTGAAAACAAAAAAATCAAGTGACATCATACTGAGATCACAACATCTTTTTAAAATTATTTTGTCTTGTGTGTCTCAGAGTGTATCTTGCCGTTCAGGAGAGAGTAAAACAATTGTTGATAAGGAAACAAATAAGCATCAATTCCTCCCTCTCCCGATTCCGTGTTACAAGCAATATTGACTTTAGGCAGTCCCCAAGGCCACCAGAGGGACATTTTATATTTGAAAGGAATCTGGTGGCCACCTTGCAGAGCTACCTGGATTGTTCTCAGCATCCCTACCACGCAGCAGCTCCCTAAGCCTGAAAGCCTGAAGTGAAGATAACCCGTGCTCATACATCAGACCAGATGCACTCCTGTATCCCGCACCCCCCAGGGACCTGGATCCCTCATTAGTACTTTATTTGCAGCAGATTTAATCGGCAGAAAGCCAGCATGTCCAAGGCTGGACCACAGCAACACACCGGAGTGGCCCATGAGCCACCAATGATTTACAGTGGTCACACATTAACCCCACTGCCAGCCCGTCTGCAGGCTGCCCGGAAGGTTGCGTTCTTTCCACCAAGCTGACAGTGGCTGCGTGTGCAGGAATCGCCGGCTCCTGCTCGTCAACCTATCATTGGTGACTGAATGCCTCCTTATTTCTTATGCTTCCTGCTCCTCAACAATGATATTCTCTCTCCAATTATTATCTTGGAAAAAATGCACTCCTACGCTACCAACAACAGCATTCCACGAGAGAGAGCTCTTTGCTTGCTTGAGAACTATGAAATCAACAGTAAAAGTTACGATGGGCACACCTACTAAAAGACGCAAATCAAAGTTTGAGTAGAGCATTCTGATTTCAAAAACGTAATCTTGTTTTTTCAATCTTTCTGCAAATTAATTATAATGTGTTCTCAGTTCTTGTTATTTTTAGTTTTGTTTTCAGGTCACCCCTTTTCCTTTCACTACCAAAATCCAGTTTCCCGAGACATGGAAAGAGAAGAAGTACTCTGAAATGTGACTTTTTTTTTTCCTGTACAAGTGACGTCACGTTTCCATGAGCCGGTGACTAGTCCTTCTGCAGGTAAGACCTTAAGATCAGCTCACAGCACAGCCTGCAGGGCTAAGAAGGTTCGGGAAAGTGGTGAGCGTGTTCCAAGTGCAATGTTCGCCTCATGTCCTTGGAAAGTGCCAACAGGCAGTGTTCCTTCGCAAACGCTTACCTTCCAGCTTCATTCCAACACTCAGACATTTCTGAAACCGACAGTAAGGGCAACGCTTTCTCTGGGTTTTGTCAATCTGGCAGTTCTGGTTTTCTATACACGTGTACCTTTTATTATTTTGGACTGTTCGCTTAAAAAAACCCTATAAGACAGAGAAAACAGTGAGACGTAGTTATAAAACCCCCAACACCCGTCTCTTCCATTGTTTCATTTTAAGGAAATCAGCAGTAAATCCTTCTATTGTAGCAGTTGAGCCCCGGTGAGGGTCTGTGGTTTATCTTACACCTCGGCGGGATCAACTCTCCCAAGCCCAGCCCACGAAAGCCCAGATGTTTCTGGCATCAGCATCCCACCCCTCCAAAATTACGCCAAATCTTGGGGAGATGTGGCCATGGAACATGTCATCCCCAACAGTCAGGGGGAAAAACACACTGCTAGCCAGCAGAGACCCTGTCAAGGCAATCTGCTCCCCCAGAATCTAGAAGAACTTGGTGCAGAACCCGATGGCAGAGAAAAATGCCAAGTGGGAAACTGACAAAGTAGCCCAGGTCTTCCAGGGACAGCTAAGCCACAGAGGACAGGGACAGGCCGCTCACTCCACCGCGAGCCCCTCCAGCTGGGCTTGTTCCCAAAAGCAGGAGAGACTAACCGAGAGGGAAAGCTCATGCCAGCAGGTGGGGGGAGCAGGGATGGCAGCAGAGTGTGTGCAAAAAGGAGGGATCAAAAAGAATATTGGTTGTTTTATAATATAGCCACAGTTTTACCAGTATCCATGCTTGTCCTACAGATCATCAAGAGAAATCTTTTTTTTTTTTTTTTTGCCACAGGAAATGAAGAGAATTTTCTGGCAATGGCTTAGGATACTAGTACTTACAAAAAAAAAAAAGTTGGGAAACTGCAAATGCTGCATTTACTGGGAATAAGAAAGGTTTGAGATAAATCTTTGAAGGAATAATTGATAAGATTAATGACCTTATAATACTTTTTACATCTTAAAATCCCTTGTGCTTAAATAGGTCGCAGCCTCAGGAAAGCGGTGGAACTCTCAAATTTGGTTTCTTGATGCCTGTGATAGGAATTTCCCTCCTCCCCCCAAAATCCTTAAATTTATTTTTGGAATAAATCAGGGTGAAATCACACAGCTGTGAATTCAGACTTTTACGTCTGTGGATAAAAAATGTGTAGACACAAAGCACTGAATACTCGGAAGTTAAAACATATTCGGGAAATACTTTGTCATGGTCCCGCTCAGGAATAACGATGCCTTAAACATATATAAGTCAAGCAAAATCAATATTTAGGACTGTTAGGAATGGAAGTCTTTCTACAGCTCTATCACTTTACTGCACTAAAATATCTCGAAGCCGCAGGGTTCTCTAAACAGCACGCACTGCTCTGCCAGTTGAGCCAGACACCTACCGGAAGGAATCGGCTCCCTCGGACTGACTCACTCGCTTACTTTTAATTGAGTCTTAAAAGAAAGAAAAAAACCCACAAGGCTATGCGAACTACAGGGAAGTCACCCCAGGGTTGATTCTGTCGTGGGTAGTCAGGGGGAGGCAGGAGCAAACCTTGCAGCTCTCACAGGTGAGAAGCCCATAGTGGTACCCAGACACTTTATCTCCACACACGGGACACAGCTCCTCCAGGTCTTCATCATAGGAGTAATTCACCATTTTAAACTGAGACACTGCAACAGCAAGAGAGAGAGGCATCGAAGGTCTGGTTAATTCACCATATATGGACTCAGATCCCGCAGCACAAGCATTGTAAAGTCACAAACAGTCGCTATGTTTTTCTTTTAATCCGGGGCATACTGAACTGTTATTTTTACATAGAGTGAAACATCGTCTGGGTATCAGAAAACAGTACACATTATTGTTTCTAAAACTTCAAAGAAAATTCCAACTTTTCTGGTTAATAGTTTCAACCGAACACGATGGTGCACCAGTCTCCTAAACTCTAACCCAGAATAGAAGTGCGAATTTGCATAAGCAATCTAGAATTGCACACATCTGTCCATTCCCCAACTCCCAGGTATTTCAAGGCAAAAGGCTCGCTCGGGGCACACACCACAGGGAGTTCGCGTCGGGGGCAGCTGGTGCTCCCCAGTGGAGCGCCAGCCTCTGTGCGGAGCCAGGGCGCTCACACGCGCACAGCCCGGGGCTCCCCGGGGTCCCGAGCTCATACAGGCACCCAAACACTCAGTTCCCTTCTGACACAAGTCCTGCTGCAAGTCCCGTTGGAAAACCTGTAAAAAAAAAAAAAAGCGTGGACGCTGGACGGGGAAAAAGAAAACAGCAGAGGAACGCAGGAAGGAGGATGGGATGGGGTAAGATCGGACCCTCCGCCGCCGAATGGTGCGGGAAGGCTTGCAATGAACTTGACGTGTTTCCGAATGTCTTTGCAAAAAACGGTAAACACCTTGAGAGCGTCCAGAAGTCAAACAGCCTAACTCCCCATGACCCCCGCGGCTGTGCCTGGGATCCAGCAGAGGAACTTGCGAGAGAAACCCCTCAGGCATACCTGAGCCGGTCCTCCCCGAGACTCTGCACGCGCGCGAGTCCCGTACCGGAGCGGCTGAAGGGCAGATCCGAGCCGCCCGGCCACCGCCCGTCCTCGCCCGACGCACCCCGCGCTCGCCCCTAACCGTCCGCACCCCGATGGCGCACGAACGCCGGCCGGGTTTGTTTTAAGTTAATCAGTGCAGCTCGCGGTGGGGTGGGGCGCGGCGTGGGGGTGGGGAGCCCGCAGCCGGCCCAAGTTTCTCTTGATTTGTTTACCAAAAAGGAAAGGGAGAAACAGTCTCCGACCCCAGGCCCGGGGACCCCGCCGCTCTACCACCTCGCTGGCGCAGGCTTTTCTTTCTAAAGTCTCAACTTTTTCCCTCCGTGGCCTTGGGGACGCGTGGAGTTCACTTGTGGCACTTTGCAGTCCGCCGAGGCCGCACGCCTCGGAAGCGGCTCTTCCCGCAACGCGGAAACCCCGGCTGGGACTGAACCCCGAGGGGAGGAGGTTCTGCCGGAGAACCCAAGAGAGCTGATCAGAGGCGGGAGCCTCGGGTTCGGCAACCTAGAAAAATGAAGGGCCTGCAGCGGGGTTCCCGCAGCGGGGCCGGCCTGAATCCCAACGCTGACACTCCCTGCTCGGGGTCTGAGGACTGGAGGAGTTGGGGAGCCGATGAAGAGTTGGAGAAGTTCGTTTACAGCCCTGGGACACTACGCAGCTCTCCCCAAACTCGTGCTTGCAGTTCTGAGCGCGGCTTTGGGCCGGCAATGAAGAGTGTTTTTTTCTACTTCTCCCCCTGCTGCAACAACGCAACTTGTTCTCACTCCTTTACAAGGCGCAGCTGGGCAAAGGCTCACAGGGGGTACTACTTCCTGCATACCCCCGGGATCCAACAGAGGACCAAAAAAAAAAAAAAAGAGAGAGAGAGAGAGAGAAAGAGAGAGAGAGGTCGAGCCCCGGGGGTGGGTTCCCTCACGGAAAATCCAGACAGGAGCCGAGGTGGGAATAGAGGCGCCGCTACGCAAGGCTGCCCGGGTGCCCAGGAAGCGCGGAGAGAAGCGACTCCGTCCGGGCCGCTGTGCCTTGCGCCCCACCCCGCTTCGACTTGGTCGGGAGAAGGGAGAGGGGGACCCGGGAGTCTCTCCGTCGGGGCCTCACAAAGGGGCGAGTGCACTCTCAGAGAACCCCAGGCCAGATTACGGGTGCGTGCCAGGCTGGCAGCGGAGCCAAGCGTGGGAATCCGGGACCCGCTCCCCAAGGGCCTCCTACCCGCGGGCCTCACCCCGGAGGAAGCCGTGCCCAGGCGCTTCCCACGCAGCTTTCGCACCCAGGGCTGAGAGCGCGGCCCGCTCCTCCGGCAGCAGAAGAGGGCCCCTCCGGCCCTTTACAAAGGAGGTGTGATAGGGCATTTGCCCCAAATTCCGAGTCCGCCCCTGCTTCCACCGACTCCCGCGCAGGATAAACTTTCTTTGCCAACCCGGCCCTAAGGAAAGGCCTCGCCACAGCCTGCCGGGGACAGCGTCCGGACCCGCTTCGCCGCGCCCCTCTTACCCTGCACGCCGCCGTGGGACTCCCAGGCGCCTGGAGGCTCCTCTTTTTGGGCTAGCCGGGTCCCCCCAGAAGTCTGACCCACAAACCGAGTCTCAGGAGCTCTCGACAGCCCTACCCCGAGGCTTGCAGAGACCCCAGGAGAGGAGAGGGTGGCTGAGCCCCTCCAGGTGGGGGTGGGGGGCACACAAGGCGCCAGCCTGCCACCCCCTTTCCCTCCTCCGCGGCCGGGCGACGTCAGATCTCCCGGTCCGAGCGCCCCGCGCGCACCGCCTCCCCCGCACCGGCCCTGAACTCTGCTCTCAACACCTCCCCGGCCCTTTCAAGTTCGCGCAAGGGGGATGGCAGGAAGCGCTCGGGGATCACAGGCCGGCCGGCCCGCACATCCTGCGCGCTGGCTAGGGCGAGGATGGAAGAACGCCGGTGACTTTTCCTAGCATTGTTCCTTTCCCGGGGCCGGAGCAAACGCGATAAACTTCTGAGATGGTGCCCCCGAGCCCGATCTGGAATGACTGGCTTGGCACGTGCAGACAATATCGCCAGAGATCTGGGTTTTGTTTTTGTTGTTAGCTGGGTAAAGGCACGGGCCATTCGTATTCGCAGCTGGTTTTTGGACTACAACCCGGGGGCGATAAGCTCTGGGCTACCTCCCACCCTCAGTCTCTCCGCAGCACCACCCGCGCAGGGCACCTCTTGGGAATAACTCTGCCTCGGATCCTGCCAACAGCCGGAAATTTGGAAATCCGACTGTCCAAATCCTAGCCGGTTCTTGAGGGCCCACCTGGGATTTTGGGGTGCTCCAGGCTGCAGCCAAGTCTCTCCGAAATCACCTCCTCCTGAGAGTGACTGCCACAGGCGGAGAGTCTTCGCTCTCCACACCGAGCCCCGGCCCGAGTGCGCGCAGGCTCCAGGAACCCAGAGCCTGCCGGGGCATCGAAACATCCCCGGTCTTAGGATGATCTTTTTATTCCCAAGACATCCTTCCGCCTTTCTGCGACCCCGCTTGAGTGGCCACGGAGCTCCGAGCCTGTCCTCCTCTTAATTAGTAGCGGCCAATTAGCTACTGCTTGGAAGACCTCTGCCCCCGCATTGTTCAAGAGCCATAAACTTTTATGCCTGCACCTGAGGAGGGGGCCCGACGGCCGCGCGCCGCCCCACAGCCAGCGGCTGCGCGCCCCCCAGACCGGCTCCCCCAACGCCCGCGGCCGTGACTGCGCCCGCGCTGGTGCGGGTCGGTCGCGAGGCTGCAGCCGCAGGGCGAGCCCGGGGGGCGGTGAAGCCGCCGGGGCTAGAGCGCCGCGCCGCCGCCTTACCTTGCATGTTTTCCGGCATCTGCCCCTGTTCCCCATGCGACCGAGTCAGTCCCAGCGCTTCCGTCTCCACTTTGGGCAGCATGACAGGGCGGCCGCCGGCGGCAATGGGGCGTCGGTCCGGAAGCCCAGCACCTGGACACGGGCAGCAGAGATTCAACTCCGGCCGAGAGAAGGGGCGCCCGGGGCGCTCACTCGCCCTCTGGCTCCTCCGGGGCTCCGAGCAGCACCTCCGAGCCCCGTCTGCAGCCGCCCCCCAGAGCTGCGAGACGTGGTCAGGGCTGCGGAGGAAGCGAAGCCCACCGCGGCCGCGCTCCCCGGCTCGGCTCGGCCAGGACGCAGGCGGCGGCGCGGCTCGGCGGAGGACAGCGCTGCGGGCGGCCGGGCGGAGGAGGCGGCCGCAGGGCTGCTGCCGCGGCTCCCGGACGCCTCGGGCGCCTCCTTCCCCTCCCGCCACTCGCCCTCTGGCTCAGGATCGGCAGGGGTCTCTCTCTCCTCTCGCCTCACTTCTCGCCTCTCCGCCCCTTCCCTCTATCGCTCTCAGCGCATCGCGCGTGCTCCCTATCACAAGTGCCGAGTTGTGAAGTTCCGACCTCCCTCCCCTGCCTCGTCTGCTCTCCCGCGCGTCCGAGCGCAGCCGCTCCAGCCCCGCGGGTGGCGGTGCTGGGAAGGAAAGGGGAAGAGAGGAGGAGACGAGAGGTAAGTAGAGCCAGGGGTGGGGGAAAGCCTGAGGGGGATGCGGGGCGCCTACGGCCGCTGGGGACGCAGGTTTCGGACTTGGGACACTAGCGGCCAGCCAATGAGGATGCTCCTGTCCCCACGCTGCCCCAACCTCTTCACCCGCCTTACCCCCTCCCTCCGCACCCTGGCCCGGGGCGGGGGCTGCACACGCGGCTGGGTCTTAACAGCTGGCGAGAGGCGACTTCTGAGCGCCGCGGCAGAGGCAAAGGAGCCGGGTGTTGCGCGAGCCCAAGGTTGGGGCGCGTGGACGTGGGTGTGTTGCGCGCCCTCGCTGCACGCCGACTGAGGAGGCGCAGGGGACTTAAACACCCACTTAGAAGACCTAAAGGAGATCCGGTGTGTTGAATTCTGGTGACCACACGTCTCCCGGCGCGGCTGGTCGCCTGTCGTGGGAGGGGTGTCTGCCGCTTTAGTCTTCCCGCCCTCGACTCCACGAGGCACGCGGTCTGTCTGAAAGTCACGCCGCTGAGATCCTATTCTCCACCCAGACTCACGAGTTCCTTCTCTCCCCCCATCCCCCCGACCCCGGACGCAGGGTCAGGATTAACTCTGGTGGATGGGGGGGGCGACTTATAGTTTCAATGAACTGCTTTTACATATAAATTGCAAACATCAACCCGAGCTTGCCTACTTCATTTCTAGCTTCTCCTTGGTTGTTGGTGGAATGGAGCTGTAGGAGACCCAGGGGCTCAGTGTTAACAGTTTTAAAAAAAAAGTTTTTAAAGAACCATCTGTTGTGCAAGCTATCCGGCCACCAGCTCAGCCACGTCTACAGAGTTTTCAGATGTCATCCCAACAAGATTAAAAACAATCTCCCAGCCTCCCCTGACTGCAGGCGAAAAGCCCCCATTTTCAGGGTCTGCTGTGCAAACGGGTAATTATCAGCGTCCACCCACAAGGGGGTGAATTTGAATCTCAAAAGATCTGGATTTATTCTATTTGAATAGTGCTCACACGGGCACTCGGCTGTGCCTGGGATCTGATGAATTGAAAATTATTTCAACCATTGCAATGCCACTTTTTTTTTTTTACACTTTGGTAGGAAACCGGTGGCCCACCCACAGCTGACATTTTGGGCTGCCTGTTGACCCTCGGACTGAGTTGCTGCGTTATAAAATTCTGTGATCAGAGTCTGAGTGGTTTAAATGGCAGCTCCAGTGGCATCTTCAGATTGCACACACACAAACGGGGGTGGGGGGAGCTATCCACGGGGTTGGGGAGGGAAGGTGCCCAGACAATGGCCTTCAGCAGCCGAGAGGCTGGCAGCTAGGTCAAGGTGACAGTCTGTGCTCCTGGGTGCATCGTTGTCAGTGCACAAAGGGAGTTGGTGCGCCGGGCTCAAAATCAGTGCTCAGTTTTGCTGTGGATTGGGTTAGTGGTGAACTTGAAAATCGATTCTCAAAACTCCAAGAACTAGCGCCTAGCACTGCTCATCCAACAGCCCTGGGCAGTGCCTTCCAGCACCAGCCTGGCAAGGATGCAGTACCCTGAGCTGGGGTGTAGCAGGGCAGCATGCTGAGTGGAGAAGGGACCAGGCCAGGGGAAGTGAAGGAAGTAAGGCGGAGTTCGGCACGTGTGGCAAAGAACTTCGCCTCACCTCCAGTCCCAGGCGAATCCGCCCAGGTCAGCGGCTTCAGGGCCAGCAGGACCTACTGGGAGTGGGGAGGGGCGGGGTGTACAGGCCACTTCTCCGTCCAGACCCCTCCGATTGATTGCCGTCTCCCCCCCCACCCCCCGCCCTCCAACAGCTGGCGTTCAGTGCCCAGATTACTGGTGGGCTTCCCAATGGGGACGGGGGGGGGGCGGGAAGGACCAGACTCTTCAGGCCGCAAGGAGGGTCTGGTCCAGGCAGCCCCTTCTGTCTCATCAACAGCCCACGTAGTGCGGTGGCACCGGAAAAACTGCGTTCCCTGGCGCGAAGACAACCAAAGGATCTCAGAACCCGGAAACCCATCGCTCCGGGCGAACACCTCCAGGCAGGAAACAAGTTCCCCAGGGCCAGCCCCTTTCCTGAGTCCCTCAAGAGACATCGAAAACCCCACCTGCGGTGGACCGGGCTGGTTTTCGTCGGGGCCGCAAGGGCACACTGACCTCTCCCCGCGCTACTCTGCGTGAGGCCGCCAAGCCTTGGGCAGCAGCGCGGGGAGGGGCGGCCTCAGCAGGCATCGGACGCCACGCTCCCTACCGGCTTCCAGGCGCGCGCCGCTAGCCTTGTGAACCGCCCGCTTCGGGACACGCTGTCCTCCCGACCCTTCCATCCCGCCGGGCTTGCGTGCCGCCGCCCCCGAAGTCTGGACCGCTTGCTTGGATGGCTAAGGTGCCCTGGAGCTATCCCCAGGGCCCCCGCTGCCAAGGAAAGCTGGGGAAGGGTCTTAGGTATGAATCCTGGAGTAGGTGCTAGGCCTCCGAGGCCGGGATCTGGGAGAAGAACCAGTTGGCCCTGGGAAGGGGAGACAAGTGGAGACGGCAGCAGGTGGACAAGGGCAGCGGCCTGGACGACCAACTCGCATTCCCGACCGCGGACGACTGGACACCGCCCCTTCTACCTCGCCTCCCGGGAAGACGTACACAGCAACCTCACCCCGGGCTTTGTACTGGGGGGAAACCGAGTTGGCGACTGAGGATGGAGTCCTCGCCCCGCCCCTGGAGACTGCTGCAGCAGCTCTCTCTGGCTTCACCCACCGCGGGGCCCTGGGCTGCGCGCCTTACCGCCTCCAACTTCTGACAAAAAACAATTCTCCCCCAGTCCCCCCACGCCACCCCGCCGCCTCCTTTCCGACGAGCTGAGTCTCCAAGGGCTCGCCCTTCCCGGTTCTGACTTTGTCTTAAAGTGTTGATTGACGGTTGCAATTACGATGGATGATGGCTCTGGGAGGCTCCCGCAGCCTTGATGAGTCCAAGAAGCGCAGTCCTGGCATATTTTATCCGGGCTCGGCGCTTCGGGGCGGTGCGCGCCCCATTCACCCAGCTGCCTGGAGGCGAGAAGGTCTCGCGCTCCCCACCCACGAGGAGCCCACCGCACGCTCCGCCCCGCCCCGCGACTCTACCTTTCTATGCCTTTGCGCCACAGCTCGCCGCGCGCTCTGGGAGAAGCCTGTTCGCGCCCTGACCCGAGAAGCGTCGGCGCGCGAAACTCGTGCGGACTCCGGGGTCGGGAAGACGGAGACCTGCGAAGGTCGCATAGGGGTCCTGGCTCTGCAGGCCCCGAGAGAGCCTCGGGTGACCCCGCCTATCCTTGCACAAAACTTACAAACCCTCCTGGTACACAATTTCCGATGTTTCCTTTTCCATGCCTACTTGTCGGTGCTTTTCAGAAAACGGGGCAATTGCTTTTCTGGAAACCCAGATTGTTGTTTATTATTATTATTATTATTATTATTATTATTATTATTATTTAGATACATTTATTTTCCAGAAGGTCTCCACTGGATTTGCGCTCCCAAAGCGACTGGGTCCCTGACTGTCCTTCCCGCCCTTCCCAGCTGAAAAGCCCCTCAGAGGCGGTGTTGGCCTTTTCTCTGAAAATTAAGTTTACCCAGGACTCCGCCCCGCCCCTAGGCTCCACCCACCCTCGCCCAGAGCATTTTTTGTTCTTGTAAAAGAGGTGGGTGAAGTTGTGCATAAGGTAGCTTTTGGGCCCCAGCTTTAGGAAACAAACAAAAACTAAAAACAAACCGGAATGGATGGGCGGTGGCACCTCCTTCGGAAAGGAAAAGCCCCTTTCTGCTATTTCTATGGATGATATCTTAAAGCGTCCCAACCACAGCTCCTTAAAAACTAAAAACAGCACGTAGAGGATCTGCTTCCCAGTGGTGTGTCAGGATGGGGGCCAAGGGGCTTATCTGCACGTGTCAGAGCTCAGCCAGGTTCCTGTCTGGGAGAGGCCAGGGAATCCAGACTCCCCCATCCGCGCCCCACTCCTCAGCTGGCCTTCCAGTCCCTAAGACAACGAGCCTGTTTTGGAAAAGCCTGGCCTGGCTCACCGAACTCCGGGTGCTTGAAGAACTTTTGAGCTTTACCTGGGCTAGGAGGGCGAATTTTGCCCCAACTCAGGGGTCCCTGCACTTCTCACTTTGGCAGGGTCAGCAGTCAGTGCCAATGGAAGGCTGACCAGGATTGGAAGGAGGCGGGGTTCTGGGGGAGAGACCCCGAGTCCCAGGTCATTCCTCTTTTCCCTCCACTGAAGTGGAGTTGTGAGGCGGGGGTAAAGGAGGGGGTGGGGACCAGAGACTCCATCCACAGGAAGCAGCCAGAACACCCACACTGATAAAGACCACCCAGCCCCACCTGGCCATTCCCGTCTTGCGACCCTGCCCCCACCCTACTCCATCCTCAAGCTAGCCTGGGAACTGGTTCCTTTAGGCCAGGCAGCCCTACTGGGAGGTTCTTGGAGAGATATCCTGCCTGGTTTCAGATTCTTTGGCTTTTTACAGCGCTAGGATGGACAGATCCCAGACTCAGCCAGTCCTTTTGGGAAGTCCCCTGACCCTATGGACCCCTGGCCTCACAGAATTGTGCTGGTCCAGCCACTTGGGGCCCCCTTGAACAGCAAAGAAAGTGAGGGCTTGGAAAGGTGGGACCTGGAATGGCAGTTTCGGGGCCAGGGGAAAGTGTAAGGTGGGATGGATTCCAGACTCTTGGGGTGACCACACTGCACCTCAGCCTGGCACTCCCCTTTGTCTGCACCACCTTCCTCTTACTCCGGAATTTTAGCTGGGAGATTTCTGACCAGATTTGTATTTCGGGACTGCGGTGGGGGAGTGAGAGATCCTGCAGGTGCAGTGGAAAGTGGGTGGGGCGAGGGGAGGGGGGTGGAGCATAGGACCAATGCTGCAGGAGGCACAGCTGGGTTTGCCCCAAAGTGCTTTTAAACACAGGTGCCGAAAGGGTATCTTCCCAAGTCAGTCCACCCTCATTCCCTAGGACATTATGTTTCTTTTATCTGAACTCCCTCACTCAATTACAGTCATTTCTTTGCCTTCCTCATGCCCAACTGGCCCTGTTAACAATCCTGAATTTCCCCTGGATTTGGGTTTCCCATCTGGGGGTGGCCCTGTGAGTGGCCATGGCATGGTACTTCTGCCTCAGCTACCCTGCATCCGATTCTGAGATCCTCTCCAGGAAACCCTGGGGTAGAAGCTGTTCTTATTCCATTGACAGCACCAATTTGCCTCCTGAATCCTGCAGGAATCCACAGCTGACTTCCACGGGAGAATGAAAAGGCAGATGAAGCTGTCAGCTCACAGCCTGAGTCGACCAGCAGGGCTTATTATCAGCAGGAGTGTGGACCAGTTGCTACTTCGAGCTTGGTCATTGGGGTTCCCTGTGCAACTCTCTCACCTGACAAGCCACCACACCTTCCCAATTCCACCTTTCCAAGCAGCAAAATGGGCAAAAGCAAAGTAAACTATGCGATGATGGGAGAAAGGCAGTGCACCCTACTGTTAATATGTTATTCTTCATCTTTCTCTCTGACTCTACTCAAACTCATCTTTCTGTTAAGGGAAGCCATGAGGAAGGAAGGGAACCACAAAGCATGAACCACTGGACACTCATCAAAGGTAGACCCTTGGGGAGAGACACTGCTGGCTTGCGGAGCTGGAAATGGTCCCGCAGGGATCATACCCTTAAAACTGCTCCTGGCATCTGTATTCAAGGGTGTTAAATACTGAGTGCTTATCAGTCACACAAACATGCCTAAAGCAGTTTCTCAAAACACACACACACACACACAGAAAACCAGCCTTTGTCGCTGTATCTGATCAATTTCTGACCACCTGCTCAGTCTCTCACCTGTCTTATTTCAGCTATTCCCCATTCCTGGGAACCCCTACAGAGGACAATTTACCCCCTTCCAACTCCTAAAGTTCTTTAAAATGGACTACATTTCTCACAGAAGCTTCCCTCCTTCTCGCTCCCACCCAAGATGAAGAGTGATGAAGTTCAACTCCAAGAAGTAACTCTGCTGACGTGGGTCCTTCATCTGGAAGTTGGAGGGGGAGGGACTGGGTGGGCAGAGTCTGATAGCCTCTGACACTTGCCCAGCCCAGACCACCCCGTAGGTGTTTGAGGGTGGGGTGGGAGGGAAAGCTGGGACCTTTGTATCTGTCCCAGCTCCCCGCTCCCCAGCTCAAGTTCCAGGCCAAATCTAAGATAATTCAGGTTGTGTCTGTCTGGCAAGGGTTCAATACAGGAGATGGGCCATTTCCAAGCCTCCATACTCTTCCAAAACTGGTAAGCGAAGTCCAGCTGTAAGGGTGTAGCAGTGGGCTGGGGTGAGGGGTCAGGGAGCTGGCATTGCACACTACAGCGCCGAGGTTGGCTGGAGGAGAGGAGAGCGTGGCAACACTCCATTCTTTCAGCCACTCCCCCCCGGGGGGGGTGCGAGGGGGCGCACGTCTTGCTTTCTTTTCTCCCAAGGAAAATCAGACTCCGAGAGTGTGGGGGTGGGGGAGGGAGGCAGAGAGCACACCTTTGACCACACAATTACTGATGTGTGTTCTGCACTTTTAACTATGCACATGTAAGGACCTGAGGAGGGAGATGCATTAATAGCCCATCACGTGCACCTCATTTGCAGAACTGTGTAAATTTAATGCGGGTCTAACCTAAGGCGGCTGCAGTGGAATGGGGTGCAAAGTTGGTAGACGCTTTGGGAGAAGTTGTTTTCTCCCCACAGATGTGTGCAGGCATCATGGATAAGTAGCAAAGACTTGGCAGAGTAGGATCGTATATCTTCCTTTACCAGGATGGTAGGCAGAGGGAGCAGCCGCATCCCAGCCTTCTGCACACCGAAGTTACGTCGGGCCCCAGTTACCCCCACCCACGCAAATGGCTACAACGAGGTTCAGCCCCCCAGGACAACAAGAGGGATTATCGCGCAGCGGCGCCCACCCTTGGCTCCCTTCTGTGAAGCATTCCCTCTCGCCTCCTTCCTCCATCCCAACCCCTAGACGCATTTTGCCTTCACAAAGCCACGCATACCTACCCCTGCGCCCCCCTACAGCCGCACTTGGGCGTCTCAGCCCTGGACTGTCAGATCCAGTTATGGAAAGTCCTCAGTTGGCGAAGGGGGCAGTCTCGCTCCAGCCGTTGGTTTCCCGGCTGAAAGCGGCCTGTTCGCCTTCTCCTTTGGCCCCATTCGACGGCTCTGTCCGGCCAAGAAATCTCCGGCCACGGCCTGCAGTGCTTGGTGGCTGGGGGGCGGGGCTCGGCACCCATAAGAGGCGTCTCTAACTGAGACAACCTTGCAACCGCGGAGCTGCAGCATCCGCAGCAGGGGCAGGAGCGCCCTGCGAGGAAGACAGCCTGAAAGGGGGGGCTCTCTCTGGGACTAGAAAATTGCAACGTTGCGTCCCGGGGCGTCGAAAGGGTTGGAACGGGTTTAGGACATCAGGGTAGGCCCGCAGAGGCAGGCGAATGCCTCCCGAACCAGGCTGGATCCCCCGGGTGGATGGGATGGGGGAGCCCCGCGGGCGTGCTGGGCCCCGCCTTGCCCCGCCCTGTCCGTACTTGGGGTACGGAGAGCGAGCCAGCCTGCAAGCAGGGAGCCTGGCCCCACCTCCCCCTTCCCTCCTCAGTCTCCGCCCGCCGGGGGTCTGGGGACCCCTCCTGGCCGATCCCCGCTCCTGGCTCCCCGGGCGCGGAGAGCGGGCGCAGGTCCTGCCTGCATCACCGGCTCTCCTCCCACCCGCGTTTGCTTTGTTATCTGCAAAGCAGTTGATTCTCTGTGGCACTGAGGGTGCCTCCCCGAGTTTTCTTTTTCTTAAGTACAGACATTAAAAAAATTTTTTTTCCCCTCAATTGTGTAGTTGGCCCATTAAAAAAAGAAAAAAAAAAAAGCCATCACTGTATTCAGTGGAGTCAGCTGGCTGCCCCGTAGGGCCGGGAGAAGCTCGGACCAGCCCTGCTTTCCCGGTTCCTGCGCCTGGGACTCCCACTGCGCCCAGGCCCCGGGCACCGGCGGGGGGAAGCTGCTGGGGGCGGAGGAGGCAGCTCCTGCCCCTGGAAGTCACTAATGGAATGGAGTCTAGCTGGAAAATGAACAACTTTGTGACTCTTCCTGTTTGTTTTTTAAATGAAAGCTAGTTTTAGGTACTTCTGTTTATAGAGCAAGACATGTAGTTCATTATTACTAAACACAACTCATAATTCTTAATGCTTATCTGATTTTTTGCATACATTTGGTTTGCTAGAAAAATAAAGGATTTTTTTTAACAGTATCTGAAAACTATCAAAGTTTGATTAATTATCATTAAGTGGGATAAACTTTCAAGTTTGAGTTTATTATTTCTGGTTAAACGTTATCAGAAAGCATTAAGGATAAAACTGACATATTTTGAATTGTTTTCTAGCTCTTTGGGGCTAGCAGAAGGACATCCAAAAACAGTGTATATATAATACATGATGAAATAGCTATTTGCATTTGAACTGCAAAAATGAAAACTGCAATATACGCACATGGGTGTGTTACAGGCCCTTAATAAACACAACAAGAGAAGTAGTGATTTAAAATATAAAACCATCAATGAGATTAAGTTAAGCGTGTTCAGGAGCAACAGAATAACGACTGGGTGGTAAATAGCAACTCGAACTTACCGAGAGGCGTGAATCCGTGCTTGAGAGAGGCTTGTAAACCCCCAGTGTTGGTGTTAGAAGACATTCTCCGTGAAACCATGGGCAGTCCTTTGGTTTATGGCAAAAATCATTGAGCATACGAAACGGTGGGGCCTGACACAGACTGTGGCCTTGGGAAAGACACATCAGACTACAGGAACCCTTAGTGAAAGTTAGGGAAAAAAAAAAAAAAGGATTCAGAATTTGGAAAGTTACAGGCAAGGCTTTGCTGGACTCTGTACTGTTTCCAGCGTTAGTGACCTGCTGTAAACCATGTATCCAGTTTCATGATGGTTTCTAATCAGAGGAATGGGAACTTCTGATAGGCTTAGTCTGATCACATGATTCTCTGCAGGTTGATAAGCGGGCCCTGTTATAAAGTGACAGCAAAAGAGATAAGAACTCTTGGCAGATAATGGCGAAGGAATGATTAACTCAGAAGTGGAGAGGTGCTATGCAGCACAGAGAGTGGAGAGTTGTAAACCCAAGGGTCAGAAGATCATATTGAGTGGCTAAAACTCCAAACCAGCTCAGATCCACTAACTCAACTAAGGCTTGTGACATAGCGCCTTGATGTCATCACCTATTTGCATAGAGGAGGGCAGACCCGGCTGCTCTGACCTCTGCAAATACATGACAGATGATAACATTGACAGACATTAATTCTTGAAGGGATGACTGCAAATATGAACAACACTTTGCAACACTACAGGTAGCACTGCTAATCTTGGAACCATTTATTTAGTCAGGTTTTGGTAAACTCTTCTCTCTCTCTCTCTCTCTTTTTAGCCCTAACTCTCCATTAGTGGAATTAATTTGAGCTTGTTTGCACATTGGCCATTTGGTTAAGAGGACAACTTCTCCCCCAGTAAAGTCAAACTTTGAGATTCATGCTGAAAAAAAAAATCATACAGGTGAAAATACCTTTTCTGTAATTGCAAAAGTGATTATGTGGTTGACTTCATGAAAAAAATCTGTTACTCTTCCCCATGAGAGAAGTATTACTCCAATGAGCAGACGGAGTTTGTTCTGTTGAATACCCTTATTGTTATTCAAAGTAATCAAATCTAGATTCCCAGGGCAATGCAGATCTTTTCCCACGTTCTGGAAGTTGGTTTTCTTCTTTTGGGTAAGCTAGTTGAGTGACCATTTTTATTCCTTTGTATGAAAAAATATATATTTATATTGGCATATGCAGTTTTCCCTTTCCAGAGTGTGTGTGCTTGGGCTTGGACTTGGCAGCGTCTAGTAGGAAAACCAGGAGGATTGTGGTTTGCGTGAGGCACCTGTTCTCTGTTGTGGCAGAGGCTCTGTGGTCCTTGCAGCCTTCCTCGTTCACTCTTGTTCTTACGTTGCACGATGGCCACCGGCATTCCAGCCATCGCTTCTCAGAAGCAAAGAAGAGGAGGAGAGGAAGCGAGCTGCTTCATAGAAACATTTCCTCAATGTTCCATGTTTGAAGAACATTTCCTTAACCACACAGACTCTGTTTACACCCCGCCAGACAGGCTGAAGACGCCTAGCTGCCCTTAGCGGCAAGGGAGAATGGCAATTGAAGTGTTTCAGCTGGGCAGCTAAATAAGTATTCAAATTAAGAAGAATTTGGTGATTACAATTATCCTGTCAGCCCTTTGCTATTCTTTCTTGGACTAATCATGGCATATTACTAGAAGTCTACCCATGTGTGTGTTCAAGGGCATGCAACTCTGTAAAGCAGATGTTCTGTTTAACTTAGGAATCCAAAAAGCTTTTGCTTGTGCAAATTATACTAACTAGTATTTGCTGTATTGAAGATTAAAACTGAGAAATTTGCAAATATTTGTTTTATAAATACATCAATGTATTGTTATTAAGTAATACATTTATCATGTATTAGTTTATTTAAAATACAGTTGATTTAAAAATATTCCTTTTCATTTATTTATTTATGTATTTATTTATATTGGAAAGGCCCATTTACAGAGAGAAGGAGAGACAGAAAGATCTTCCATCCGCTGGTTCACTTCCCAAGTGGCCACAATAACCAGAGCTGAGCTGATCTCAAAACAGGAGATTCTTCCAGGTCTTCCACATCCAAGCAGGGCCCCAAGGCCTTGGGCCATTCTCGACTGCTTTCCCAGGCCACAAGCAGGGAGCTGGATGGGAAGTAGGGCAACTGGAACACAAAGTAGTGCCCATATGGGATCCCGGTGTAGGCAAAGTAAGGGCTTTACCCACTAGGCTGTTGCACCGGGCCTGTCATTTTTATGTCTTTGAAAGGCAGAAATAGGTTCCTTCCATTGCTTCATTTCCCAAATGCCTGCAAAGCTGAAACGGGACCGGACTGAAGCAGGAGCCAGGGATTCCTCTGGGTTGCCCATACGGGTGACAGGAGCTCAAGTACTTGGACCATGACCTTCTGCCTCCTGGGCATATTAGACCATAGAGGAAACTCCATCCCTGTGTTACCATGTGAGATATGGGTGTGCCAAATGTTGGCTTACCCCATTATGCCATACGCCTACCCTACATACTAGCTTAGTGGCATATTTATAAAGAAAGACAGGTATTTAAATAGAAGGCTCTCATTTGCCAGTTCCCTTCACAAATCCTTGCACCAGCCTGGGCTGGGCCAAGTCCAGGCTGGGAACTGGGATTTCAATGCAGATCTCCCACCTGGGTGGAAGGACTCAACTGCCTGAGCCTCCATGCTGCCTCCCAGGGTACGCGTTAGCAGGAAACTGGGATGCGAAGCAGGACTGGAACTCAAGCCCTCGCACTCTGATTTGAAATGTGGGCACCTCGGACCAGGCTTGGCTGGGCTGTAGCACCCAACAACAAGAACCGGAATGGGTGAGGGCCAGTGAGGACAGGAGGTGGACTAAGTAGGGCTGGCCCATGGACCCACTAGTGTGCAAGAGATCTGACATTGGGAGAGATCCTGATGGAGGAACTTGGGGGACTCCTCTGTCAGAACACACTCCCTGAAGGTGAGTGCAAGAACCAAGATGTGGAGCAGCCCAGACCAGGTCAAAATACGGTACCCGCCAGCATACATTTGGCACAGGTCAAGGGCAGACCAGGCTGGGTCAGTTCATATCACCCACTGTCAAATCTAAGCACAAGAATGGAGTGCAGATTAGGCCAAGTTGGGACGAAATACCAGCCAGTCCACAGTAGGGCCGGGATTGGGGGCTGGCAGGGCTGGGCTAGGCTGTAGCCCCCAACAGCCGGAGCTGGAATTGGGGGTGGGCTGGGCCAGGCCAGGCTACAGCACCCACTGCCAAATGCTGAGGTGAGGCAGGCTATGCCAGACTGAGTTGCAGAACCCAACCAACACATGTGAAACTAGAGGGGTGGTGGAGATGAACCCAGTAGAGGAGCTGAGGGGCCTCCCTTACTGGGCTGCTACTCCCACTGGTAAGCATGAGAGCTGGAATGGGGGGAGATCAGGCTGGACAGGGCCAGAACATCCAATGGCCTACACGTGAACTGGATCAGGGAAAAGCCAGGCTGGGCTGACTGTACCTTCTGATGCATGCATAAGCCAGAGTGGGTATGGGTGGGTTGGACTTTGCTGCAGCATCAGCTGGTAGATGCTAGCACAGGGGGCAAATTCTGTCAGGTGCAGGCATGGCTAGACAGATGGTGGAACTTGCTGGCACCAGTGTGGACTGGATAGTGGGGCTGATTGGAATGAACAGGGCTTCACTGCCCATTAGCATGTATGATAGTTGATTGGGGTGTGGGACAGCTGGGACCAGTCTGCTGAACATACTGGCAAGAATGGGAACCAGGGTAGGGAGTGGGCCTCGTGGGGCTTACCACAGGTTGTACTGACTAGGCTGCAGCTCCTACTGCTTTATGTGAAGGCCGAATATATGGTGGACAGGATCTGAACTCCAACACCCAATGGTTTGTGTAAAACACAGGGGTGGAGACAAATCTGAAACAGCAATTGCAACTACTAATGTGTGCGTAAACTGATTTGGGTGATGGATTTTGCTGGACCTTGTATTGGCAAACACACAAGAATCAGGTCTGGGATGGCCTCAGATGAGGTTTCTTTGGTGATTTCCTACCAACTGAACCGCTGGACTCAGAATCTCAACCATGGAGAGAATTGCAGTTTCCATGGGCTGACCATGGAGTGAATGTGTCAGAGCTGGGCCTCCTCAGAGGCTCAGACGGAGCACATTCCAGTGCACAAGGAGGATATGGCAGTATGTTGCATCTGCAGAGGACAACTGGTATCACAACAGAGGATGGAAGACAAAACAAATCGATCAACTACCCCAGCCATGTGCCGGCAGCGAAAATCTGGGCAAAGGGAGATTCTAAAGTGGACTGTCAGCCAGTGGATTCTAGAGAGATTTCATAGCAATTGGAGTAGCAGGATTGACAGCAATTCAGGACTGTTAAACTATCAAAACCTCTGGAACACCTCATGGAATTGTAAATTTCTACTTTTCTTCCTGTTGATGATTTTGTGTTGTGGCTTTTCATTTAAGGGGCTGTATAGTAACTGTGTAATGGAGACTAATGTACCCAGATGTGAGGATACAATGCAGTATGCATCTCTACTTCCAGATTAAAGATGGACTCCCAACGAAACTGTTAACTATGTCTTGATAACAGGATGCTGGACTCTCTGCCATTGTCCATGCCTGCAATGAACATGTGACTGTTTATGAAGAATTATCCTATAGTAATAATATAGGAGAACTCAGTGGAGGGGAGGAGATTTGGGGTGAGGAAGGGAAATCCTAAGGCCTATGGAACTATATCATAAAATAATAATAATAATAATAAATTGTAAACAAACAAACCAAAAAAGAAATGTGGGCACCTCAAGCAGCATTTTAACTTCAAGGACAAATGTCTATCCCTAATGATATATTATAAATTAAAATATTTATGAAAATAAAACACTTGTTTTGACAAGTCTTTTTAAATGCCTGACCTCATGGAAGACAATGAGAGTCTCATATTTACTTCTGCATTCCTTTTTTTTTTAAGATTTATTTATTTTTATTGCAAAGTCAGTTATACAGAGAGGAGGAGAGACAGAGAGGAAGATCTTCCGTCCGATGATTCACTCCCCAAGTGAGCGCAACAGCCGAGCTGAGCCCTTCCGAAGCCAGGAGCCAGGAACTTCTTCCAGCTCTCCCACGCGAGTGCAGGGTCCCAAGGC